ATAGATGGTTTATTTACGTTATTTTTACGTGGGCGTTTTGTTTATTAACTTTCGTTATCTTTTAAGCTTTGCTTTGTGGCTGAGCTGTAATTTTATGCGTATATTATATAATATATATAATACAATAATATAATTTTGTGACGTTCTTACGTGATTTTTTTTTACACACGTGCGCTGTTTTCGGTAATGATTAATTGTTGCCCGGTTTTTATTACAGATTTGCGTATTGGTCATGCAATAATACTTATCAGAATCTGCTGGTGATGATGATCCCTTTCGCTCTTTGTTAGACTTGTTTTTTCTTCAAATGGGTGATTCCTTGACCTGTCCCCTGTCACTTTATTACTTCGTGTCCGCACGAACCTCACCCCTATGTTCACCGTTGAGAGATTGCCTTTTGAGGAATTATTTAATGTTTCTATTAACCCTTTGGAGAACAGGTACCCTGATTTCATCTGTACAGGTATGTAGTAACCCAAAATAGTAGCACTGTTTCGCACCGTACTTTACTCGACTACACTGTAGGTATATAATTGTTATGTTTCTTTAAGAATTTTATTATGGATCGGCACTAAGAGCGCTCGAACTGCACGTCCACTCTCTTCTCCGGTATCGATAGTACATCAAGTAAAATTATAGCTATTTAAAATAAAAATAAATGTTTCCTATTTCACGTTCCGCTACTGGATGTATAAGAATTTGGCATATGTTATAGCCCTTATATGCATTAATATGTAGTCCAAATTGCAAGTTAATATCTGTTAAAATTAGTTTTGACCGGAATCGGGATTTTCAGCCCAGTGTTTATAGTGTACTTATATAGCGCCTCGGCAGCGAGCACTGAGCTATAATATACGAGCTAAATTATACGCGCTTTCTCCACGTGTTAGATAATGTAACATTATACATTTATATAAAAATAAAAATAATTTTATTTGCCAACAGAGTCAAACTCCAATAACAGAACAAAAAATAAACATATAATAATAACTTTATATTATAAAGTTAAGTAAATAATATATTTTATTTAAAGAATTTTTGCAATATAAATTTAAATGAATGATTTTATTTCAGTAAAAATTAAATCAAAATTAAAAAAACAAATATATTTTTATAAAATTCTTGCCAAACATATTTTATTTAGTTTAACAAATGTAACATAAAAAACCACTCCAACAACTATATAATTATTTATTTATCCACTAGACCATGAATATAAAACCACATATATACTTTTAAAGTTATCTTAAATGTATTTATATAAAACTTGTTAATTTTGTCGATAAACAAATAAAAATGGACAAGTCATGGTTACTTGTATAATTAGATGGTTACTTGTATATTTAGATCGATAGATTTAAAATTAAACTGGGTTTTTGCATAATAAATATATTCACCTTTAAAAAATATTATTGACCCATAAAGGAGTGACTAACGAAATAACTAAATATTTTAAAAACCTTTAAATTATAAGTTATAATTAATCCGACAGGAAATCGAATAAAAATAAAATAATAAAGTATAAATAAATAATAACGTTCAGGGTAAAATTAATTAGATTATGGATCCTTTTTTGATCTAGAGTGTAATTTATCTAGAAAATGTAAAGTATTATAAACGAAGGAAAGGCTTGGGATAAAGGTGCGTAAACTCAACCTTTAAATCAAACGCCATACGTTAGTGAGAAAATCAATTCTTTCGAAAAATTTATCAGAATAGTAATTTTGAATGCTTTTTTAAATGGTGATATTTTAACATTTTTTTTAACGAAAAAGTTTTCAAGAGTTTTATATATAACACAGAACCCGTGTCTCGGCTTTTTTTTAGATCACGTAATTTTTTTTAGTGCGATCCAATAATATGTTATCCACTGTATTCGGCACATACTATAACAGCTTCGATAAACAGCTAGTCTGTATAGTTTTAATAAAAAATATTTACTGAATAAATAGACAACCATTATAATGAATATTATAATATAATAATGAATATTATAATATAATAATAAAGATTTATAAATCTTCATTTTAAAATTATTTAAATGTAATATTTTTAGGTTGTAATAACACTAACTAAAGCAATGTATAATAGGGTGGAGTGAATTTTTTAAAATTTATTAATTGATTTTTCCTATATTATTAATTGTTGACTAAAGGCGTAAAATGAATAAATATCGAAAAAATATTCTAATTTTTTAATATCTTGAGGTGGCGCATCTGTCTCGAAGTTTTGAAAATTCTAAAAAAATATTACTTTAATCAAAGTAATAAAAATAGCATTATTTATAAATAAAAAGTTTATTTTAGTAAAATTAACGTGAAACGTAAACATATTTAATAGTAAATCATATGCTTTAAGTAACTTCAGGAGTGTTTATTGGTAGAAATAAGATCTTCTTTTTCGCGAAAATACTGACATTTGGAATCAAAATTTGGTAATTATTTTCTGACTTTAATTCTTGTTCTGATGAAACCATTTCTTGCTTCCGATCCACAAACCGAGACTGAAGATTCAGTATACTGGTTATAACCAGTTTTACACAGCGTTCCACTGCTTGGGTGTGACACAGAATTTTTGGAAGTATAGGAAATGGTCACCCGAAGAAATCATATCGGTAATTTCTGTCATCGTATTTCATAGTCATAGGTGGTTCAGTCACCTTTCACCTTTCACCTGTCGCCCAGTGAATTAACTGGTACAAACGTAATGTTCAGTATTTAGTTGTGGAAGCTTTAATTCCCGTAATCTCGAACATTTTGATTCTTTTCTCGCCTTTAATATTTTCGGCAATGCTAGTTCTCTGATCGATAAATATATTGTAGGTAACATAGCAAGTAATAGGTTTTCGGGATAAATATTTCGCTGAATATTCTTTATAACTATAGTTATAAGGCCTTCAAGTTTTTCTGGAGGTGTAATGCTCTTTTAGTCATATTAAATTTGTGAATAGGACCATGTTTGCACGTAGGCTTGGTGTTGATGTAAAACCACGTTGGAGCATACACTTTCATGATAAAAGTAGCCAATTCTTTTAGGTTTTCCGATGGATTTGCTGTCCCCACATATAAACGAATAATCCTATTAGCCCACGTCAGCCATAGGGAATGTGCTAGCTTGCCTGGATCTTTGTAAGCTATAGCTAATATTTATACCGAAAACCTATTACTAGCTATGTTACCTACAATATATTTATCGATCAGAGAACTAGCATTGCCGAAAATATTAAAGGCGAGAAAAGAATCAAAATGTTCGAGATTACGGGAATTAAAGCTTCCACAACTAAATACTTTTAACGAGTTAATTCAATGGGCGACAGAAAAGGTAACTGAACCACCTATGACTATGAAATACGATGACAGAAATTACCGATATGATTTCTTCGGGTGACCATTTCCTATACTTCCAAAAATTTCCGTGTCACACCCAAGCAGTGGAACGCTGTGTAAAACTGGTTATAACCAGTATACTGAATCTTCAGACTCGGTTTGTGGATCGGAAGCAAGAGATGGGTTCATCAGAACAAGAATTAAAGTCAGAAAATAATTACCAAATTTTTATACCAAATGTCAGTATTTTCGCGAAAAAAAAGATCTCATTTCTACCAATAAACACTCCTGAAGTTACTTAAAGCATATGATTTACTATTAAATATGTTTACGTTTCACGTTAATTTTACTAAAATAAATTTTTTATTTATAAATAATGCTATTTTTATTACTTGGATTAAAGTAATATTTTTTTAGAATTTTCAAAACTTCGAGACTGATGCGCCACCTCAAAATATTAAAAAATTGGAATATTTTTTCGATATTTATTCATTTTACGCCTTTAGTCAACAATTAATAATATAGGAAAAATCAATTAATAAATTTAATAAAATTCACTCCACCCTAATGTATAATCGTCAAACTAGACCAAAAGACCAACATTTTTTTCCAACATAATATATTATATTGCATACCGTAAACACGGGTGGCTTAAGCTAAATTTGGCTCAATATTTTATTTTATTTTTATTAGACATATGTTAGCAGCGACATAATATATTATAGCGATTGCACGGGATTACCGATAAAAAAAAATCGACCTGTAGTTAACCAAGGATTGCGCCTAATATAGAAATTGTAACGCGTGTTCTGCACATGCAATATAAACAATTTTAAAGTGTAATAAATCCCATTTTTTCTTTAAAACACTGATTTTCCCGTAATATATACTCAATAGAATCGCTCAAATGACAGGTTTAGACCAACAAATTATATATGTTAATTTTATCGAGTGCGAAAAGATTTTTCATAAAAAGGTTAAAGTCACCTGCGGGGTGCAAAGGTAAAAGATAAATACAAATGTTTTATTAAAAAAGAAAAAAATCAAAAATTCCAAATGGAAATTATTAATTTTTATTAAAAAACAATTAAAATTATTGTTTTTAAGTATAATTTTTGTATTATGTAACAAAATACCATATTTAAAGAAAAAAAAATATTTATAACAAAATAGAGAATTAAGAATGGCTGTATCAAAAATTTGACGTGATTTCGTGAAACGGTGAGACAAGATTAGTTAATATATTAACTATAGTTAATTTTTCATGGGAGGGAAATGGTGTTGAAACTTTTTTTAATTTTTAAATAATATTTAAATATTTTAAAAAGATGATATCTAAACTATAGTTATACCTACGAATAAAAATGTACAAGTTATTGGCTAAATCTAAAGTTAAACTAGTTAGTTAAATTATTTTGTTAAACTTTTTAAATAAAAATAATATTAATTTATTTACATATAAATAATAATAATAATAATTATTGTATTTTATTGGTAAAAAAATTAGCAAATAAACTTTTAACTTTCTTTAAAATTTTAAATATATATTTTATTTCAAGGGCATCTTTAAAACAAGAATATTCAATAGCAATATAGTATTTGTAAAAATTAAATGGTATCTCTTATTGGCAGTAAAAATATTTTGTTAACGGAGAGAAAAAAATGTTGTCTTACCTAAATCTAAGTGCTTTGGAAGCAGGTTGTTCAACAATTTTAACCTGATAGTCGGATCTGCCACATCTTACTCTGTTGCTTTGAGAAGGCTGTCTATGTGAATTGTTATTCGTTATATCTTGTCCGCCTGAGAACATTTTGGTTTTATTAGGGGACTCTCTAAAGTCCGGATCAGTTTCGATAATTTCAACTGAAAAAAATAACAAAAAATTAGATTATTTTTCTGTACATGTAAAATGTTTGAGTTTTTAATTTAGCTGGATTTTTGCTTGATCAACATCAATCCAGCTGGATCCAGCAATTTTTAAATAAAAAAAAAAATTAAGATTTTTTTTAATACTTTCATGAAAAAACTAAAATAGGTACCAATTTATAGAAAATAAACAATAAATGAAATACAATTTTAAATTAAATAATTTAATTTATTGATAATGATAAGTTATCATTGAAAACACACATTTTTCATTAATATTTTTTTAAATTTAAAACATACTAATTTTATCAATTTTCATGTTTTGTTAATTTTTAGTCTCTCTGTATAATATAGGATACTATAGTATCCAAATTACCATTGGTAATATGTAAACCGAAATAAATAAATAAAAAATATTATTTTTACAGGACTGAAAAAATATTACACTATTTCGTATATTTCAATTTTTAGTACATTTATCCTTTTTTAATTTCCATAATATAAATTATATCTACTGGATAATTAAATATTTGTAGAACATTACACTGATTTCTACTTTAAAAGCTTGAACAAAATTAATGTAAAGATTATAAGATAATTATCTTCATTTTTTTATTCAGTCAAGACTAACACATTCTAGATTCTTGTCTTGTCTTCTCTAGAATATCAAGACAAGACCGTCAACATATCTTGTCTAAGTGTATCAAGACAAGACAAGACCTTAGCCAAAAATCTTGATTATAATCAAGACAAGACAAGACTTTAAGCCAAAACTCTTGATTATTTTCAAGACTAGATTAAATTTAACTTTTAAAAAAATATTAAAAAACATTTAATTATTATTTTTTTATTAAAAAGAATATATATATTTTATTGAAATCTTGGGCTTATTTTCTACACATATTAGGGGCTTATCTTGGGCTTATTTTCTACATACATTTAAAACTATTATTATTTTTGCCAATAACCTTATCAAGGGTTTTTTCCTTATGTTGAATTGTCTTTGAAGTAGATTGTTGTTGAAGTACGTGAAGTTGATAACTTAAAATCGATTGTTGCTGTGGTGTTACTGTTGGTTGGCGAAAAAACACTTTCATCATCACTACCTGAAAAATCGTCTGGCCCAGGCTCATAACTTTTATCTTCATCTATCGAATCACACGTAAAAGGACCTTCCACTTCTTCGTTAAAATTATTATTATCATTTGGCAGTTGTACTTGCGATGTTTTTTTATCTGCATTGCATGAACAGAAAAATTTTAAACGCTTTGTTTCCATATTTTAAAATGCTTCTTAGTATTAACCAATAGTAAAACAACAAAAACTAACCTAAATTCTAATAAATTTACTGCAAAAACAAAACGCAAGGGTTGTGTCTGCACGTGGCGGAAGTGATTTGTTTTGACTGGTTCCAAAACAAGAGTGGGAGTTACATTGCGCAGACGCATAATTTATATCTAGACTCTTGAATATTAATCTAGACTCTTAAATAATAATCTATACTAGTTAATCTAGACAAGACCGCATTAAGCTTTTTTAATCAAGACTTAGACTTACACAACTCTTGTCTTGAAATTTCCAAGACAAGACAAGAGTAAGTAACTCTTGTCTTGTCTTGTCTAGACGGCACCACTAATGAGGGATCCAGCAATTGCAATCCCTAATTAGGGTAACCAATTTTTATGTGTAGCAATAAAAATCGTTTACCTAACAACCGTTTTTATTGATTCTAAAAGATAATATATTTCCGATTTCCGAATTCTGTCCGAACTTTATATTCTTTATTTTTCCTGAGCGTCTTGGAAAAGCCACAGATTATAATTTATGTCTTATATTATTATTACAATCTATAGGTGAAAAGTTATTTTAGAAGGTAACAATTTTAATTAGTGGTAAAATATTTAAATAATGCATTGGCTTTAAGGCGATTTTCCCATTCCACATCACAAAAAAAAATATATATATATTTTTTTTGTGATGTGGAATGGGAAAATCGTTTCTATAGAAACAATAACCATAAATAAAATATCTTTTAAGTTTGTAAACACTTTTTAAATTATTCAAATCGCATTTTTAGAAATATTAGTTTGTAAAATAGATATGTTGTTTTCCACAAAAAAGTTCAGCTATTTCAAAAATTAAAATAAATAAATAGTATTTAGACCTAGTATGTAGACTAAATTCCTGATTTATATGTAAATAAAAAAGTAAGAAGGTAAGTTTAATTTCGTTTAATTTAAATAAATTAATAAATAATAAATAAATAATAAATAATAATAAATAATAATAATTATAAATAATAAATAAATTAATTTCGTTTAATTTAAATAAAATAGTTAATTAACAATATTTATAATCTAAATTTAAAATATGCATGTATGTTTTAAAGAATGTTTCCTTCCTGTATGACTTTCGTGTTATCAAATCGCAAAATGTAAAATCTGTTGCCTTACCCAACCAACACTATATTAGCGTTAAAAATGATATAAGTTTTATAGCAAATAAATTTTAATATATTTTTTTAATTTTTTACCTTTTACTTTGATAATAGTATATTATGTATCAAGTTTTGTAAACGCCATTTTGGTCACGAATTTTAATTAGGCACGAGCGACTTGGAAATGGACTAACAACAGTTTTTCACTGTTAAATTGAACAAAATGTTCTTGCCGGCAAAATTAAAAGGTCATATAAACTTTTAAAATATTGGAGTTGGAAAACTATTTATTACTTTTGTATTTTTGTATTGAGATAATAAAATAATTTTTACATTTTACAAGAAATGCACTTTATTTTAACCATCAAATTACATTTTACAACTGTCAACTAACTTTAGCCCGTGACTAAAACACTATAAAGCTACAACTTGTCAATGTGTATTTAAAAGGTCACTTAGTGTCATGGAAACATGTACGATAATGGGCGTTTTAAAGGTGGAAGTAAAAAAATATATTAAAAAGTATATAAGATATTATGTATACACAAAATTATTTGCTTTTAATTTGTATATAATATATACATAATAATATGTATATAATATATAATGTAAAAAAAACGGTTTTTTTCGTTTTTTTTTCAAATGCGCTACAGTAAAGCATATTCTGTCAATAAATAAGGTGACATCCATTAATTACGTGAGGCATTTTTCTGATAATTTGGACCCCTCCCTCCCCCTTGGTGAGATTTGGTGAGATGTGGTAGACCCCCCCTATCCCTCACGTAAGATTCTAGCCAGTAAACTTTCTTTGCGGACAACATGATAAACCCAAAAAATAAAAATTGATTACTTTTTTTGTCAAATTTGAATTATAATACATATTCTTTAAACCCAAAAGTTGACGTGAGATTTTTAATGTCCCCCCTCCCTTAACATGAGATTTGGTGAGATTTTGCTACAGCCCTCCCCCCCTATTTTTATCTCACGTAATTAATGGATGTCCCCTAAAATCAATCTAAAAAAATTGAGTATTTTTTGAGCAAAATGTATATTAATAATAAAATGAAATGAGGCGTATACTGCAAAAGCGGCTTAACTAAAAAAAATCATTTTGTGATTTTATCTTTAAATATTTCTATTATCGAGTGAACTAGCCTAATAAAGTGTGTTTTATTAAGAAGAGTAGTTACTACTATATTAAAATACTTTATTAGGATAGTTTACTTGATAAGCGCATAAAAGGAATACCTATTTTAAGATAAAAAACCAAAATTATTTTTTTAGTTCTAACTAAAGGCTTCTTTTGCAGTATACGCCTCAAATTTAGAATATATTACATTTTCCATTATTGAAAATTTTGACTGAGACTAAAAAAAATGATTTCTTATTATTTGGTAGTTTACACATAAAAAACCAATAACAATTTAAAAAAACTTCTTGAAGTCTATTATAGGTAGTTACTTTTTTTTAGACCAAATCAAAGCAAACCCTGACGCCTGATCGCCGCAGGTGGAGAGCGCGGCCCTTATTGGTCAATTCGGTGATGATGGCGCGTGACTGTATTTATATTTACTAAATATCATTTAGTGCTAAATTTTGGTCTATGAACTGGACTGGAAACATAAAAAAATAGTCAAATTAAACTAATTTTGAAAAAAAAACATAAACATGAAAAAAAACAATTTGAAAAAAAAACAGTGAAAAAAACAAAACAAAAAAACGGATCGTTTTCAAGTTACATCTCTACACATATGTATATTATGTACTTTAAATATTTTCTTACTTTTTTTAATTTATACATTAAGTACTTACATTACTTTAGGTTCAGTAGTTTCATTAATTGCAGAATATTGTTTAATTTAATTTAATGTTATTTTAAAAGTCGATTACATTTAGTTAGAACTCACTATTGTTTTAAAATCCTACAGAACAATAACAAAACAAAAACATTTGTTTATGTATATATTTATTTAAAACGTAAATATTTTTAAGTAGTAGTAAATACCTATTTGATAGAACATATTTTTACCATACAGGGTTTTTTTAAAAACCTTAACAAAAACAAATACCTAAAATAAATTTGTAAATTTCAGGTATTTTAAAAATAACAAAATATATTATATAAAATATAATTAAAAAAATCATCAAATTATAAAAAAATTTGGTACCATATAATTATCAGTACTACTACAACACTTACTGATGTATTTCGTAACTTTAACCCATTTCAATGTATATCCTAATTTCAGTATAAAAACCAGTGATGGCATTTTTTTTTGGATACTTTGCACTTCGCACACTCGTTAAATAGGTATAAGAAATCCGAATAACAATAAAAACAGATTTCTGGTTATATATTATAATCATTCTGGAGTCCAGAGTCTGGACACTTGTTACGAACACGTTACGAATTAGAATAAAGTAAGAAGAAACATAAGTTGCAGACAGTTGAACTTGTTGATGTCTATTGTCAGTGGTAAATGTTTTGATTGACTACCTAAAATCACTTAAACTTTTTTAACGAAATAATTTGTTAAACATTAGCAAAATACTCTGTAACCTATGAAATTAACAAAATGATTTTAAAATTGCATATTACGGTAATATTATAACCTTTACAAAACTTTTGGTAAAATATTTTTCTTTGTTAAAATAATTACAAACAATTGCAACACATAAAAATTTATATAAATAGCAACGTAATTCAGTCAACTGTAGGTACGCCAGAATCTAAACCAAAAAGCTCTTAAGCGCATTTAACCTAAATAAAAAAAACTCGTCGCCAAAGCTAACCCTAAAGAACGCATAATCTCTCAGACAAACGCACAGCGTGGTAAAATAAACTGTGTGCTTCAGTTTATAATTTCAGAAAGCAAACAACGACTGGCAAGTATGTCTGAATCTTCTCTGAAGTCAGTACATGGCATGAGCAGTCGAACTTTCTAAAAAGTCAGAGCGGCAACACGAACAACCCATCTTAGACGGCAACACTTCGGTACTGAAGTGCCCAGTGGGGCAAACAATTTGAGTACAGCGGTTTCCGAAGTACCTTAAGAAGTAAGATAGGCCACTACAGCCCAAGCCATTCATGAACCCCAATTAAATGTGGGAGTTACTAAATCCCTGGTTTAGGGTTATTTCGGATTGTAGTTTTGGGTCAGTCTAACGTTCCCCGGAAACCAAAAGGTTTTCCCTTCTTGCCTTAAACTCCACTAGCCTAATCGGGCGTATAGCCCGACCCGGCGACAAAATTCCGGGAAGGGTCTTAACCATCGACATCACGATCTTCCAAGGGAGATAAACCACCTGGGGTTAAACTTCGTATCCATCAAACATAGGTAATGGTTTGCAGTTGCGGGATAAGTAGAAGAACCGAAAGGGGGTAAAAATAACTTCGGGAGATCAATATATGATGACGCTGTTTTCGAAGTAATAGACTAAAAAAACAATACTCGTTCTGTATGACTTGTATTTTGATCCTTTTAATACTATCTACCACAATAAATTTTATTTTAGTCCAAAATTATTATTTGCTGTTTAAAAATTTCAGGAATTTGAAAAGCACAACAAATAATTTTTAACTATGGAATATTTTATTTTATTTTATTGCATTTTTTAACTACTTATCATAGATTTAAATATTTCATAATTTATAAATGACACTAAAATATTCGTTATACGTTATGAAATTATCAGTTCCATAGAAAAATTCCTTACTATTTTTGTGTAGATGTTTTTTTGTATAAGTTTAATTACCTACACACATATATACCTATAGGTTATTGCATTATCATTGATTAAGGTTCTTTACTTAACGGCATTATTATGTTTTAATTTGCAGAACTGAACCTTTTTTGCTTTATAAATATGCATACATTATATGCAAGTGCGTTATATTTGTTTGCCCTTTAAAATAAACTCACGTGGAGTTATTTTGTAAAATTACTCATACGTACTGACTGCTGATATGTAAATTAGCTTTGTTTCAAAGTAAGACATTTCTTTATTAATTTCTGGAAAGTATATTACACAAGAATTAATATTAAATAAAAAAATACTTACTGACATCACTTATATTAATGTTCTCATTTTGAACTCCTTGGTCATTGACAACATTTTCTAAAATGATAAAATCAGTATTAGGATTAGAAAATAAAACAATAATAGTATAATATTATATTAAAAATTAACGTTAGTTAAAATATGGTTTTGTGTTGACAATATACAGTATAATCTAGAACACTTTTTCTATACTCCTATTACAAAATATCACTTTTTGTGGAATTATAATAGGTATCTACAATCTATAGGGTGTTACAGAATAGTATATTCTGTAACAAGTTTGGAATACGGCATAGGTATACCGCTTGAGTGAAAAGTTTGTCACACGAGGCGAAGGCAGTAATACGTTTCCAATTGCAAATTTCGCTCTCGTGAAACCGCTTTACTCTCCTTTGGTTCGTGTGTAGGGTTGCAACTTTTCATGAAAAGTTGAAATTTTTGAAAAGTTGGGTTTTATTTTTCGGAAAAGTTCGGAAACGTTGGAAAAGATGGAAAAGTTGAGTTTTTTGTAATGTAAACCTATAAAACATAAATAATACTTGTCAATGAATTAAAATAATTTATTTCTTATGTATTTATACATACGTAACAAAATAACAAAAAAAAATATCAAACAAAATAAAATGAACAGACAACATAATAACAACAAAAATAAACTAGGTTTGAATTAAAAAATCATATTTTTTAAGTAAAAAAGAATAGAAATTTATACACACCATAAAAAAAAACACATCCGAAATAAAAAATAATTACAAAAAAATATGAAGCAAAAATTATTAAATTTATTGTTAAAAATTATGGAGATTTACAAGTAAAAATTTAAAAAGAAAAAGAAAAGAAAACTTTCTTCTTTTCCACTTTTATATTTTCACTTGCAAATTTCCATAATTACAAAAAAATAATATTTTTTTCATACTGTGTATAAATTTAAAATACGTTATAATAAAACAATCTTTATATAATAGAAAATGCTGTTAGCAGACACCATTTTTGATAAAGTTTGACAGAATGTTATTCCAAAAAACAATGCTTTTAGCATGTTTTACTAAAAACACTTCAAATCTAGTGATTTATATCGAATTTTGACCAAATTATCTATATTATATATGGTATACCAAAAAAAATTTATGGTAGTGGAAACACTGGTTAGAAGTCAACTCATTGTTCATTGGCTCCCACCTAATAACTTTTCCAACGTTTCCAACTTTTCATAGGGGGTGCCGAACTTTTCCAACTTTTCCAACTTTTCGACCGAACTTTTCCTTGTTTGCAACACTATTCGTGTGACAAACTCGAGCTGTATTCCACCCTTGTTACAGAAAATACTATTATTTCTTGTGCATTTCAAAAATAATCGTAAAATATTAAATTACAAAAAATTAAACATGCTTCTAATTTACAGTAAAAATTGTGTTAATTCTATTAATAAATTATGCATTTTACATAATGTAAAATCCATAATTTATTAATAGAATTAGCACAATTTTTACAATGATTGTAGGTATTATTAAGCATTAAAATTTAATGGTTTAGTACATAAAAAATCGAAATCATTAAAAATGGTATTATACCATTTATAATACTCGTACACACAAAACTTGGTGGCGGTCATAATAATAATTATTCTGTTATTGTAACCAACACTAACTCTTGTGCATACACTATAAACTGTGCACCAAGTATCCTTTTATGTGTATACTCCTAGGTGTATATTTTTTATTTGAAGAGCTACGAGATTAAATTATAGAAAAGTTGCGTAATTGCAAGTTTAAAATAATAGTACATTATCTAACAAGCGGAAAAATCGCTTATTAAAGGCACTTAATATGCTTTCTCCGCCGTGTTGTATATACTATTGTTTTCCCAAGAGTTTAATAATAATTAAACGTCAAACCTATGAATTATTCATATGTTTGACGTTTGACACCCTGTATATACAGGGTGGTCCAGGTTATAGTAGCAATAATTCACCATTCGATAGTCCATCGAAAAATAAGTCGACATGCATGGTAATTTTTTTCTCCAAAACCCCTCCTAAGGGAGATACAGCCCTTCAAAGTTGACTTTTAAAAATCTTTTTTTTTGTCATAACTCTTAGGAAATAAAAGCGTTTTTGACCAAATTTGGTACAAGTACTTATGAAATAGGTACTCGTTACCTGACGTAAGTAACTTTTGTCAAAATTGTCCAGTGACGTAGATACAAGGGGGTTGTTTCACTTTTTCCACTCCATTTTTTACGCCACTGGATATTGGTTTAAATTGACCTATTTTTCTAATTCCTTGTTCAATTTTGAGAAAAAAAGCCACTCTTGTCAAATTTTGATTTAAGGCTTTGTTTACGAGATAATTGAGTTAAAAAAAAACATACAGTACTGCAAAATTCAGTTTTAAATATCTTTTTTTTTGTCATAACTCTAACTCTAAGATCGCTAAAGCGTTTTTCACCAACTTTTATACAAGTACTTATGAAGTAGATACTCGTTACTTGACCCAAGTAACTTTTGTCAAAATAATTTTTTCCTGGTCGGATCCTGCAAAAAACGCTCAAACATGTCAGTTTTTTTCAAGGATTTTGTTGATATTTTTTTCATATACCTTTCCCCCTTTTTAGTCAATGACGTAACTATCAATTTATTTAAATGGCAACCCCCAGAAATGGATAGACTATTAAATTCTGATTTCAAAAATATACATATTAAGTCTAATTAGACTAGTTTCTAAAATAACAATTAACTACAACAATTAACAAAATAACAATATAGTTTCTAAAATAACAATTTTTTAAGTTGAAAAAATAGGACAAGTAATTTTATTTTAATTTTACAAAAAAAACGCAGTTGTCTTTGACCAAAACAAAACAGGCTGATAACCAAGTTGAAAAACATATAACATAACTGTCAATTTTTCGTTATTTTTAAAGAAGCAGTGCTTCAGTTTTTACTTCAGATTTACTTGAAAGCCGAAGGAAAAATGGTGCAATTGACTGAAAAAGAAAGGACTGATATCCTAACCATGGTTGGATTTGGAGACCGGAAGAGAACGCAGCAAGAAGTATGCCCCTTATTTAATGAATCCTACCCCAACCATGCCCCGATCTCGCAATCTTGTATTTCCAAAGTAATGAAGAAATACAGACAAAACGGAAGTGTAAAAAACGCAAAAAAATCAGGCCGACCCAAAACAGCCACCAATGAAAATTTGGCGTTAAATGTTTTGTTAGAAATATAAAATGCTCCAAGAACATCCAGCAGCGACCTTGCACGAAACTATAATATTTCAAGAAAGTCAGTTAGTAGAATTTAAAAAAAAAAGAAAAATTTAACCATTACCAAGTCCAACTGTTACAAGAATTGACTGAAAATGGCTTAGGGGGCTACAATTTTGCAAAGTTATGCAGCGCATGTGGCAGGAAAATCAAAACTTTTTACATAAATTTTTTGAAATTGTTTACGGAGCTGTCAATAGACACCTGACTAAACTCCCAGTGATTTTTTGGTGTCATATTAAAGACAAAGTGTACCAGGAACGGCCAAATAACTTAGATGATCTGAGAGCCAGAATCACGGCAGCAATGAGAGAAGTAGGAAATGAAGTATTTGGCGGTCTTTTAAAGAGAGATTGCAAATATGTAGTCAAAATAATGGTAGACATTTTGAGCATTTAAGAGGTTAAACATTTACCGTTTAAATTATTTTCCTAATAAATGTTGTATAAATAAAAATGGATGAACTCTCCATTTCTAAAAAAAATATTAGGAGATGCCATTTAAAAAAATTGACAGTCACGTCATTCTGTAAAAGAGGGGAGGTAAAAAAAAAAGTTGAAATGTTCCTTGGAAAAAACTAAATATGACATGTCTTAGCGTTTTTTACAGGACCTAACCAGAAAAAAAATATTTAGATTATTTCATACTTTTGCCCAACCCTGTATCCCTATATATATTACTGGATCCTCGGAAAATGCCGGCTCCGAAAAACTTTGCCATGTCCCTGCACCCTGTATAAACTTTCAATGGTTGTCAAAATGACAATAAATATTACAAAAAAATGATTAGGTGCATTTTTAAGTTTTAAAAAAAGTTTTAAAACTATAGTAAAACTGTGTAAAATGTAAAAATAATTATAAAACATATAAGGGACTCAAAAATATGTTTTCTTCATACCTTGTTCGAAAGTACTTACTTTCGTCCCTAATAGCAGGGACGAAAGTTTAACATTTACTTCCTGTGCTATTAGGGGCGTAAGTACGTACTTTATACCAAGGTAAACTTTCGTCCCTGCTATTAGGGACGAAAGTAAGTACTTTTGACCGATGTATGAAGATAAATAAAGCAGAAACCACTAATATATGAACGTGACTCATCGGGTGCCGAACATATCTCAGACATGCTAGCAGTAATGTTTTACTTGTCTTGTACATTCGATGCAGCGGTAAATGTACTCACACGTAGGTTTTTAAGCATCCGGTCTAAAATGCGCCATCTGTGATGTAAAACTGCCTAGGTGTTGGACAAAGATGGACATATGACGCTTGTGTCGTAGCTTGTTACTTAATTTTATTGGAAGTCAGTAGAGTTCGTGTTTTAGGAATTTATTTTATTTTATTACATAGTAAGGCAACCAACTTTACCGTCGGCCATTTGTTTTTATATGTCATATGATCTTTGTTTTTGCATATCGTGTTTCTAATGTGTGTTTACGGATTAATAATCGTTTTAAACGTTGTAGTTGCAGTGGTTTATATTATGTAACACAGGTAGATGTCGTATAAAAATCCTTACCTAGAAATTCTAGGCTAGAATACAAAAATATTTTTATTATACATATAAATTTTGTACTAGTATTAGTTTAATACATTCTGAAGAAGCTACTGTGTAGCGAAACAATTGTCAATATTTAATAAATTTCGTGAAACTAACGCAAGTTGTTTTTATATCCACACAATTTAAATATCTTTCACTTTGTACCTGACCTGCGTAAACATTTTTGTTTTTTGTCACCAATTCTGAAATATTTGCGTTTACAGTTAAAAGAATAGTATATTCTGTAACAAGTT